CAATATGCTGACTCTCTGTAAACCGCTTAGAGAGGCCTGAAAGGCCTATGAAGCGGTATATAAGTCTACTGCTATTGCTATTGCTACTGCTATTAATGACTGCCATGACTTTTGACCATAATTCCAGGCTCAATTATGGTAGTAAGTTGAGGACTACCTGTACTATAATGGAGGGTTACCTTTGAAAATAGACCAAATATATATCAGTGGGTTCAGACCAGTGGTGGGTTTCAAATTTTTTTAGAACCTTTTCTGTAGGTGTGGCCTGCTTTGTGGGAGTGGCTTGCTGCCCATGTGACTGGGTGGGAGGGGCTTGCCAGCCATGTAACCGAGTAGGAGTGGTTTGGCAGTCATGTCACTGGGTGGGCGTGGCCAACTTGTAAAATGTGGTGAAACTCACTTAACAACGCTCGTGCTTAGCATCCAAAATGTTGTCTTAAAGCTGTCAAGTTACAAGACCCTTGCACTCCAACCTTTTAGAAAAAAAACCCAGGGATGTTCAAACTTGACAGCTTTAAAACTTTAAGGTTTAGATAGGACTCTTAGAGGTGGGCGGGGCAATTGGTGAGCCAGCCAATCAGTGAGCAGCAGGCAGGGCAAGTGTGGTGCAGACAGGCGGGGGGTGGGGAGCTGGAACCAGTTCTAAATGGCATGATAGATTTGTGGAACCTCTTCTATAGAAGAGGTTAGAACTGGCAGGAACACACCTCTGGTTCAGACTCAGTCAATCAAATTTCTTTTCTACTGGAATCAAATTTCAGGTTATTAAATAGCTAGGACTACTGAATATGATATGAGCATATGCAACCCATATTTTCCATATGAACTTGCTGCCAAACTGTTTCCATGCTAAATTCAAAATGATGGTATTAATGTTTCAAGTCCTAAATGGTTGGACTTATATCCTTTAAAGTAATTCTTCCTTCTACAATAACTTTGGATATTTTACCCTGATGCCCATACTGAATAAGGGTAGCCATGGCTGACAGACAAGGCCTTATCTGTCTTTGAAATATTCTGCCCAGAGAATCAACATCAGACAAAGCTTTCCCCTTTCTTGATATTTTTTTAATATTAAGCTATTTTAGAGGTTTTTAAAATTGCTTTACTTTTATCAGTGCTTGTGTTGCTCATATTTTATATACTGGTCTTATTACTTTTCGGAATCTAATATAGACCCCAAGCAGTTATAAAATGATTGGATATAAAAACAGTTCTACCACTCACTAATTCAAGTCAACTTTTATAGTGATAATTATCAGCGAGAGGTAATGTAATGGATAGGTCATATTATGTTTAAGTTTTCACTATGACTTTATTTTTATAGTATTAAATTATTGTAACCATCCAGGGCATATTTATTATAAAGTGTAGCATAAAACATATTGCCCTTCAACCATACCACTCCAGTAATTACAAAAATAGTCATAGCTAAAAAAACAAAACTTATGCTCTTACTGACCAATATCTTAGAACTGTCAGGCAGCTTTAGGGCTTACAAAAGGGAAATAAAAGTTATATGAGGCATTTCTAGGGAGAAAATGCCCTATAATTAGGATGCCATTAGTGAAAAGGTTTGCTGAAACCCCGAAGACAACCACCACAACAAATTCACTCTTATCCACTCTTATCTTAAGCCACAACTCTGCCTTATTTTGGACTGCTTGCCAATGCACAATGACTCCAGAGCTAAACTGAATAGGGCACTTTTTATTTTTCTGAACACTGTCTCTTCTCTCTTTCCATTTTTAATTCAATGTGAGAAGCTGCCAGAGAAAAGGCAGATGAATCTAAATTAATTAAGAGCCGTGATGGTGCAGTGGTTAGAGTGCAGTACTGCAGGCTGTTTCTGATGACTGCGGGCTGCTTGCAATTTGCCAGTTCCAATCTCACCAGGCTCAAGGTTGACTCAGCCTTCCATCCTTCTGAGGTTGGTAAAATGAGGATCCAAATTGTTGGGGGCGATATGCTGCCACATCAAGACACAAAACGTACAAAAGGAATGGAACATCATGATGCTTCTTGTATTATTTGGCCCTTGTCACCCTCTCAATTAGCCTTTTGTGATTGACTCCAGTGTTTCTTTTTTACAAGGAGCATATTGTTATCCCATCTATTTAATCTTGTTTTTTCAGAGAATTCCCTCCTCCAAAAGACTTACCGTGAGGGACGCCTAAATTTTCTTTTAATTGGGCGATAACTAGTTGGCCTGACAGCTCGTTTCTCTTTTGGTTTTGAAGCTGAAGCCATAGCTTCTTCTCTTAGCTTTCGATTCCAGGTCTGTAGTGGCGAGTCTGCTTTTTTACACTTCACAGGTTGTGTACGAAACTCAGGTGGATAGTCTATGCAGCATATCCCTGCCAATCAACAGATCATCGGGCAGATTATCAAGATTATATTACATTTTAAAAATTATTGTAAAGGTAATAACAATCTGATAAAAATAACAATGGTAGCAATAATGATCAATTACTTTTTAAGATATACAGGGTAGTATAGAGGTTAGTAAAAGTAAATAATCCTTTGAATGTTATTACCACAAAAGATTGTTCTTTTAAAAGTCCTTCTCGAGCTTTCAAAGAATTTGATTGTGCTTTCTCTGATCTAAACTCATCTTGGCAAATAGTTAAGTACCATATTTTCCCAGCTATCTGAATACAAAGAAGTTAATTTTGTATAAATGTCTTCCTGGATATATACCTCTACATAACAATATATACCTATATATAAAATGCTGCACGCATGTGTTACATATCTAACACATGTATAAGAGTCTACTAACCAAGTTCCAGACATCCATGCTTGTGACACAAGGATGCCAGTCACTGAATATACTAAGTGAATGTCAATCTCTCTATCTAGTCTAATGCTATATACAACAGTTCTTACTAAATTGATGCCTTCCATATGACCATACAGGATATGGCCGCTTGGCATTTCAATCACCTAAGGCAGGGGTCTCCAAAACTTGGTCCATGGACCAGTATTAATCCATGGCCCTTTGGAACCGGGTTGTGCAAGAGGCAGGTGAGCGTGTGAAGCTTCATTTGCTCATGCACAGGATTAGATTGCTTGTGCAAAACCATCCTCTCCCTCCCATCGCTACCACTGCTGGTTTATGGAGCCAAAAAGGTTGGGGATCGCTGACACAGTATAAGGGACACCTAATAAAGAAATGCTGGTCTATATTGAGAAGTAATAGCTTCAGGACTTTATGAGTTATACCAAGAAATGCTAAAGAATGATTTTAGACTTTAGATGTTTATGTCAATCTATGCTGTAACATTGAACTGTGGTCCCACCCCAAACAGCAAAGTATGCTTTCGAGTACAAAGAATATTCGTATACCAGATATTTGCAAAAACTCCTTAAAACAATGATGTTTTTCTGGGATAATCTGGGATGTGGTTTAAGGAGTTGCAAGCAGGTTCACCATCATGTATACGCTCAAGATGTACCTTATATAAGGTGCATTTCTAACTTTTCACAATAAATATTATTTCTAGGAAAATATGCCTACAACTGTCTTATTATCAAAGTTATAACAATTACATAAGCAGGATTTCCACTGTTCTTGCCAGAAAGATCTGAGAGACAATGCATCCTAACTCTCAAGAAAAATATTTTAGCAAGAAGGAATCTAGCTTGTCCATTGGATAAAGAAGCTATAGATGTATATTATCTATCATCCATATGAGAAAGAACATTAACATCTCATCTAGTATTCTTTTTCCCACTTTCCTTCCTTACAATGCTTATTTATATTCTATGTGAAAACTAGGTTGGTCCTGCAATTAATGTTTACAAGCCTTTTCCAGCTGAAGGAGGAGGACTACAAAAATATCTACTTTTTTAGTCATTCTTACTTCCTGCAGCAACAATACAAATGTTATAAGAACAATTCAAGCACAAAACCCAGAAGGAATCTGTTTAATAGTTCTCAATGTTACTTCAGATAAACAGTTTGGAATGTACAATTTGACCCCTGGTCATATTTCTTCACAATATTTATCTGTGTCATTTTATCATTTCTGAAAATTTTGAAAATTAAGATAATTTCATATTTGTACCATTATTCATTTCATTTCAAATTTAATTTTTATCACCACTCTCTGTTATTATGAAGGGGGGTGTATATATTTGTATGAGACAGCACATGACTATACACATTAATTAATAAAGCATAAACTCAGCATAATGACAATACCTGAAATCATCAAAACACTGTTTATAAATTGCTTTATAGTTTTCTCAAACCTCCTCTTAATGTCAATAAGGCTTCTTCTCCAATGTTCTTTCTCATTAGCTTCAATGTTTTTTAAAGTCAACTTTGGAAAGGAAAAAGGGACATGAGAATTATTTTTAAAAATACTGCATTATGGCATCTGGAAATCTAAGCAGCCATCATTGTACAATAGCAGAATTGGGTGACTTTTCAGACCAAGGTTTGGATTGCATTCATTTTTTCTTAACTATGACATCATATGAGGTAAGACTCACCCATGAAGAGAGAAGAGAGAGAAGAGAAGAAAAGAGAAGTCAATTTATTTCCTTATGTTAATAAGAAAATATTCTAACCACTGCACCAACATGGCTTTTAGTAGTACTATTAATTGATCATTAAAAGACTTAATTTACTTTCCCTATAGATCCAAAGTTATCTCTCTAATTCCTGGTGCTGGACTAAATTAAATAATTCTGTGCTAGAAGAAGCGTGAAAGAGTCTTGCCTACTTTGTGCAATAAATCTGTGACAAACAATAGCAAAAGAACTGTTATGCAGCTGTCACACTGAGCAAAAAGGCATTTGTTCTGAAATCCTTATTGAGTTTTAAAAAATCACCTTTATTTACATTCTTCAAAAAACAAAACCCTATAAACTGTGTGCTTCAGCTACAAACTGTCTAGTATAGGAACAGGGAAACTTCTCTTTTTTTAAATAGCAGCTTGCTTGATAGCAGCGTTTTCCCTCCACTGAAAAGGTGTACTCAGGAGCAGTGGTGGGATATGACCAGTATGCCCCGGTACGGGCGTACTGGTACCTGCTGGGACCATTTCGGTACAGTGCTCTGGAGGGCCCGCCCGCCCACTGTCCTTACTTGTATTTGAGCCAATCGGGGCTTCCACACATGCACATGGAGCATACGGCGCCTGCATGACGCTTCACTGAGCAGCTGGAGCGTCACAGACAGTAAGTACGCATGCGCGTGCTGCAAGCGTACGTGTGGTGGACGCCCGGCCCCGTTGCACTGTACTGGTTGCACCAGGATCCAGAACCCACCACTGATCAGGAGTGAAATGGTACCGGTTTGCATCAGTTCGCCTGAGCTGGTAGTAAAAAATGCTACTGGTTTGCCCAAACAATCAGCTGTGTGCTGCTGATTGTCACGCAGCTGATTGTCAGAACTACCGGTTCACGCGAACCGGTAGCATTTCTTTACTACTGGTTTGGGCGAATGACACGCACGTGCGCAAAGCGCATGTGCACATCGAAGCAAACTGGTAGCAAAGCAAACTGGTAGCAGACTTCAGAGCATTTCACCCCTGGTGTACATATTTGGAGGGTCGAGACCAATTTTCAAGGAGAAAAGTCTCTCATAAACATCCCACACCTTTTCTTTCACTGTACTTTTTAGTAAGGAACAAGAGAGAGGATTAGAAGATAGTAAGAATGGGGAAAAATGGAAAGAGCTATTACGGGGCCACTTGCACACGCATACATTGCCTACGTACGGATTTCATCTTCAAACCATTGTTCATTTCATTGCTCGGACCCATAGCTTTTCTTTGTTTCTGCTTAACAAAAACCATTTAAAATGTATGTTTTGTAGTGTGTCTGTTTGCATGTCTGGGTGGGGGATAAATATAAAAGCAGTAGGAGATGGAGAAGGAAATGACAAGCAACGATGACTTCTTAATCTAAAGAATGGGCCAATTAGCACCACGTGGCTGATAAATATGTCATTCAGCCGCCCTGTGAAGGCAACCAGTGGAGTCATAAAACATTTTAATGCAAAGGCTGTCTTTCCACAAAAGTGCATCCACAGTATAAATATTTGGGGGGAAGGGACGTAGCAATTTCCTTCTGGAAAGAAAGTTGTCCTTACTGCCGATTTCAACAAAATTCCTGGGAGTGTTCTTTCAAAGGTCAATGGAACTCCAGGGAAGCAATTTGAAAAGAGCCAAGTGCAGTGTGCAGTGTGTGTATGGAGGAGTTTTAAGGGGAGAAGGGAACAAGATAGAATGTGGTATAATTTGTCTATAGCTTTTACTGCAGAATTTAATTTTGCCGGTAAGCAGAAAAACTGGGTATAAGGTTATAAGGGTATGATACTGTAATGCAATGTGTTTTATTCAAGCATTTGGAGAGAGAAATCACTTATGATACCCAGCCATGCTTTTTATTATCTGTTAGCGTTACTGCCCTCTTCATTTCAAAAACTTGATGTAGTATACACAGTACAGGCAGTCCTCAACTTATGAACACAACCGAGCCTGAAATGCCTGTTAACATTTGTTAATTTTGAATTTTGCCTCATTTTATTATCTTTCTTAACACAGTTGTTAAGGGAATCATTGCAATTCTTAAATTAGTAATATAGTTGTTAAGTGAATCTGGCTTTTTCACTGACTTTCCTTGTCAGAAGGTTGCAAAAGGTGATCGCATGACCCCGGGACGGTCAGTATGAATATTTTTTTAAAAATCTTTAGATATTTTATTGTGCATACAGTAAGGATCTTTCTTAAATGACAACTTTATTTCCAAGATGGGTCTATGAGATCACATCCTATTCTACCAAATGCACCAATTGAGCACCTTGACAAAATATGCACAAAAGCATATAGTAAGAGTTGATGGAAAGTTAAGTTAAAAGTTGATGGAAAAAATTTTTACTTCCCAAAATCAAAGTCACCAGTATCACTGTCTTTCAACAGAAAAGAACTTGGAACATGGAAGCAGCAAAAAGCAACTGAATATACAGTTGGGATAAGGTCAGAAAGAATAAAAATAAATTGCACCACTTTTTAAAGTCTCCACGTGAGCAATATAGAGGAAAAATGCATTTCTCTATGGAGAAATAGTGGTACTTTCAAACTTTCAAATGCCCACCGCCGCTATATACAAAACTTTCAAAAGTCCACTGCCACTTGTTTCAGTGATGTCAACTGTTCTCTCTTTTGAGAGAGAAATTTCACACTTTTAATGCAGAATGTTCTTCTACTGAAATTAATATTATAGGAACATCAGAAGATATGGGGACATCAGCTCCTGAACAGAGATTTTGTAAAGAGCAATGTTCAAATCAGGCTTTGAACTTATATATCTATAGTTTATAATAGTATATACAAATCTGTCACCTATATAGCTTTTTCACATATCCACAAATTTCTTGATTTTTTTATAAGGACAGTGCCAAAAACTCCAAAGGAATCCCAATTATGTGTTTTAGAAATGATAAGAAAAAAACATATTGGCAACATTCAGCAATAAGACTTGTGGATTTTACAGTTGGCATATATATGACACACATAAGACTTAACTTACAGTTATCACATGGTCTAAGTTTGAGCAAGATTTGACTGTGATAACAAACCTAACTTTTAAAATCCCCATTTATTCCAGCCTGTCTTCCAAAATTGAAATGTCTGACAACCGTATGAATTTTGATCACACGACAATGGGACTGTTGCAATAGTCCTAAGTGTGAAAAAATGGTCATGACTCACTTTCTCAGTGCTGCTGTAACTTTGAACAATCACCAGGTGAATTGTTGTTAAGTCGAGGTCTGCCTGCACTCTTCCCTCCCCCCCTTTCCCTTACAAACCCATCGTGTGAGATAGGCTGGCTGAGAAATACAACATGGCCTAAAAAGTCACCCAAGGACCATTCATAACTGACGGTGAATTTGAACTAGAATGTGTTCTGATCCAGCCTTAACAAGTAATGATAAGCTGCTTACTCACGAGTAAAAACAAACCCCTTTTTAAACAGGGTAGGAACAGGGTTTTTTTTATTCACGTGGATAAACAAAAAGCAAACGTAATTAGTCCCAACATACCTGGTTCCGGCCAAGGAATCTGAATTGCTTGCTGTGTACTAGAAAGCGAACGGTTGTCTGGGACAACAGGCCACTCCCAAACCCCTAATTTTTATTTCCCAGGCAGGGAGGGGCTGGCTGGCGTCCACTTCTGCTTTTCCCTGAAAGCCAGCTCACTGCTTTCCTCTCCTTTCCTCTCTGCACATACGTGCATCTGGGATGGGGCCTATCTGTTCCTCCCCTTCACTCAGCTCAGGCCCCAAAGACAGCTGCCTCTCCACCTGGGGGAGGACGGAAGGCCCCTGCTGGGCCTGCGTCTCTGATGCTGTTTCCTTATCAGAGCCTTCCAAAGCCTACGAAGCTGGCCCAGGTTTCTCCCTCCACTTCCTCCTTGTGACCTTGTCTCACTCTGCAGCTAGCTCTGTTGGCAGCCAATGGGCCACAACAGACTCTTCCCAATGCTACTGAAGGAGTACATGAATCAATTATTGGCTATTTGCTTTTATCATGAATTGCTTATGTTACTATATAATTGTTACTGATTAAATCAACATTTGCTGTTTGCTTCTGATATGTTATACTGCTAGAAATTATTTATCAAGAATTAAGCTTCTGCTTATATTATTGTATGTTGTCAGAAGTTAGTTGCTTTCTAGCCCAGCAAGTTGTAACCTTAATACTGGATGGCATTACTGCAAATGTTATCTCACTGCTGCGTCTCGCTTTTATTCTTGGCTTCAAAGCTAGACACATTTTTGAAGACATAGAAGAAATTGTTACAGGGGAATATCAGGCCGCATAGATAAAGGAACCAAACTAGGGAGTTTTCCTGGCTCATAAATCCTTAAAGCAGTGGTTATAGACTTTCCCAATGCCGTGACCCTTTAATACAGTTCCACATGTTGTGGTGACCCCCAACCATAAAATTGGTGTCTTGGTTCCTAAGACCATCGAAAATATGTGTTTTCCAATGGTCTTAGGCGACCCCTGTGAAAGGTTCGTTCGACCCCCAAAGGGGTCCCGACCCACAGGTTGAGAACCACTGCCTTAAAGCATTCTGCCTGGAAAAACAACTTGGCAAATGGGGGCTACCACCCCCTACACAAGGCTATAGGAATACTCCATAGATAAGGTACACAGAGACAGGAGCTTGAACAAAAGAATGCTTTAAAGGTCACATTGGTAATGACTCTTTGTCTCTGATTGGATAAACTTTGTTTCTATCTGCCTAAAATGTATATAATACTCTGAGCCACTCTTGCAGGGGGTGGCTATTCCTTTCATGCAATTGTTTGTATGTTTTGAATATAGTTTTGTCACCCAGCCTTTGCTATGGCCATAAATAAAAGCTGATACTTTTTGCAAGCCTCGTCTCAAGTCTCACTCTCTTTGGCATTTCAGTGGCTTGGGGAAACTGCTGGAACCTAACACTACCTCAATGCTTTCTCAACTTTACCACACTGGCTATCTCCTAGTGGGTCATGAGACACACAACATGGCAAGCACAAATTCTTCTGACTTTTAATTAGGGTTACAGAATGCAGAGAGATCTCTTTATTGTGCCAGCCCTTTATTGGAAATCAGCCCTATGTTTAAAAACAACAACAACAACAATAAACACTGGGGGGGTGCTTAGTACCTGCTTATCAGCCTTGCATACATGCAGACATCCAGGTCTTATCAAAGATAAGGTGATGGTTTCATTCAAGGCAGCAAAAGTAATGGTCATGGAATTTTGGCTGAGAACCTTTAATTTTAAATGTTCATTTATCTAAGAAATAAAAACAAAACAAAAGATAAATCAGAGTCATGGGGCAGATCCAATCAGAACTGATACTTTCCCACTGTTTTCATGTCTGACAGTCTTTTTAACTAGACTAGCAAAGATGCAGATAGGCTGAAACTAGCACATGGGTATACATCCACAGCAAACACAATCTGAGACAAATGGAAACTCTTGAGTCTATACCAGAGGTGGTATTCAGCCAGTTCTGGAGAACCGGTAGCGGAAATTTTGAGAGTGGGGAGGGAATGGGGACTTTGCAGTATCCTTCCCTTGCCACACCCACAAAGCCACGCCCACAGAACCGGTAGTAAAAAAAATAGAATCCCACCACTGATCTACTAGATATTATATTAATTATATTGAGGGTGGTTTTACCTGGCCAACTTTGTCTAGACTGGAAACCTAAGCAGCAGTGTACCTGGTTAGTATTTCAGTGGGGAAAATCTAGGAAATATATTTTAGACTGAGATGATAATGATGATGATCTACATCCTGAAAAGGAGAAAATGGCAAACTCCTTCTAAACTACTGTGAAGAAATTGCACTGCTGTGTTCACATGGTTAACCAGGAATGGACCATGGCTTGAGAAAATGTTAAAACTTTTTAATTAATGGATGACAATGACTGTGAAGACGTTCTTTACAGTGTACAAAAAGCTCTCATTGATATCAATAGAGGCTTTGAAATAAAAACAATAATTTCTCTTCTCAATTTCATATTCATATTAGAAATGTCAGGAAGCAAAAGTAAACATCACATAATCCTACGGAGCACTTTGCTTTTTTATCACTACTTGTACCATGGGTAGCATTGGGAAAGGAAGAATAAATCTCTGGCTCCCATAGGCCTGCAAAAATCCAAATGAGAACTAATTAGCAGCAAAAAATGAGGATGTTCTGTAACTCTGGTCACCTAGGAAAACCATTTTATTTCACTGTAACCTACTGTCTGCCTGCCTGCCTCAAATTCTGTTTTGTCAATGGATTTTTTATAAGAGTGTAATCCTTGTGAACATGTATTACCATATGGTATTACCTTATGTATGATAAGTACACATATTTTAAAAACACGTTTCAGTGCCTGGTGGCAATGCATGAGGGTATAAAATGTGAAAGTAGTTACCACAAGGAATCAATCCAAATACATCTCTCTGGTATTTGTAGAACCTGAACCCAACTGAAGAAATGACTGACCTAAAATTGTAGAGTAATTGTTAAAAAGTGCCAAAAACAATGGTGATGTCTCATTAAGCAAGAGTCCAAATTCATACCTGAAAATCTAATGACTGAAGAACTTCTTTTCGGGAATACCAGCTCCAGCGGTGGGTTAAATGGCCATATTTGTCTCTAACTATCCCACCTTCCTGATTCATCAGTAACGCCACAGAAAAGCTGAGTAAGGGGGAAAACAGTCAAGTCACAGCAAATAATACTGTAAGGTTGCTGCTGAAGATGTTAACTAGTAATATTTTTGGCTTTTCTCATTGCAAAAATATTATAAGCATAATAAATATTGAGGAATTCAGTGGTCCTAAGCCCAGATTTCTGCCTCAGTGGACTGCTCTATCATACTGTATTTTTTATCCATTTAATGTCCGTACAATGCAACATAGCTATGATCAAGGGTGTTGGTTCCTACACATGGTAATACCAAAATGGCAAAACATAAGAGGTGGTATCATGACACAAGCTCTGCCCTTTTGTATAGGTGATGTGATTACCCGCAAATTCATATGGCCGTGATGGCAAACCTATGACACTCATGCCGGAAGTGGCATGCAGAGCCATCTCTCCAGGACGCCAGCCATTGCCCATTGCTCTTCTGGGTTCTGATGTGCACAGCTGGCCTTCTTGCCCGGGGGAAAAGCAGCTCCCAGGCATGCATGGAAACCAGAAAAGCAGCTCTGTGGCATGCATGGGGACGCCAGAAATCTGAGCTTCTGGTTTCCAGTGCACTCATGCATGCCAGCCAGTTAGCCTTCATGTTCACATGCATGCCAGAAACTAGAAGACCAGGTGACCAGCACACATATGCACTCTGAAAACTGGAAGCTCAGCTTCCCAGCATGCACATGCGTGCCAAGGAGCTGCTCTTCCAGTTTCCAGTGCTCCCCTGCACATGTGCGGTCCTGTTTTGCCACTCGGTGCCGAAAAGGTTCACCAACACTGTCATATGGGATGAAGTTTGCATTATGATGTATATTGCTCCCCTATCTACTGTACCTCATGATAAAATTATACCATGGTAGCTGAGTTCTTGCAAATATGAAGACTACACAGTATACATATTTTAATATTGTTGCATAATAATGAATCTTGCTGGATAAAATTGCAGTTAAAGTAACATATTTCTAGTTGAAATTACCATATTTTTCGGAGTATAAGACACATCGGAGTATAAGACGCAACAAGATTTTTAAGAGACAAATTTTAAAAAAAGTTTTTGCACTCTGCAGACTTCCCCAAAACAGCCCGTTTTTTGCAAAAGGGGGGGGACCCCCCCAAAAGGGCATGAATAGCCTTTTGGAGGCTCCTGTAGAGTTTTCCTGGGGGGTGAGGGGCCAAAAACGAGCAAAAAACAGCCATTTTTTTTTCAAAAACTGGCTCACTTTTTGTCAAAAAATGGGCATGCATAGCCTTTAGGAGACTTATAGATTGTTCCTGGAGGAGGCAAAACTGAGCAAAAAAAGGCCCATTTTTCACTCATTTTTGCCCTCCCCAGTCCCCAGGAACACTCTGAAAGCCTCCTAAAGGCTTTGCACAGCCATTTTGGTGAAGGGGATGGGGTCTCAAGTGGCAAAAAATGCTGTATTCAGTGTATAAGACGCACCCAGATTTTCACCCTCTTTTTTTTTAGGGAAAAAGGTGCATCTTATACTCCGAAAAATACAGTAGATCTTAATAGATGTTTCCATCTGTTCAAAAGAACAAGTGTCATGAATACAGATGCTCAACTCAAAATGAGTTTGAGTCCTTGAACATCAATGCATTCCTCAGACTTTTAACTTACCTAACACCACCTAATGTTATATCTCCTTGAAGAAGCAGGATTTCCACTGGTGTACTACCCAACTCCCATTTCTTCTCTGTGGGCTTTCCCAAATTCCCTCAACTGTTTGTATTCAGTGCTCTTTATTTCCCAGGAAATGTCTCATGCCATCACTTCAGGCCAAATTTTATGTTGGTCTCACAGAGTCCACCTCTGAAATGTATTCCAATTACTCATCACTTTGTTGACCTTTTTCTCTCCTAGTTACACCATGTGGCATCGTCATTAATTACACCCAGTGGGGTTAAGCTTTTAACATAGGTCATTAATAGCTTGCCATATCACATGCTCTTTAAAGCCAGAGACTTGGGATATCTAATTACTTCACTTAGAACAAGAGTGTGGATGAGAATCATAACAATAAAATAGACAGATAAAATGGATCTAGTTGACCTGATTTTAAAAGTCCCATAACACTGATTAGTTATGTCACCTTGTACTGGTCTCTTTTCTGATTATTCATCTGTACAACTGAAATAATTTCCCTCTTACATGATATTTTTCCATTAATGAATGGATTTCTACAGACATTCATTAATAACTTTATATTTTTGTGGTTACTATTAATGAAATTGTGCAGCCACAATGTGTAGAATGTACTGGACAGAAAAAGATCCTGTGAAGAAATCACATAGATTTATGATATCCCGGATGACCATACATTTCTCTTACAGGAAACTTGGCTAGTCCCAAGAGAACTTACATAATTTGTACGAAAATATTAAAATATTTGTTTCAACCATTGGTTTGATGGAATTGGTCTATTAATTCATTAATATTTCTTTTGATTTAATAATTCAACTATCACTTATCAATTAATGGATGCCTTCTCTGTTGCATTTCTATCCACCTCAAACTATTAGGATCAATTAATGAGACTCACCTTGATTTAAAGGAGTAAGACAGACATGAGTGGCCCGGGGAAAATATGCCTAAAAGTCCTTGAGTTGGAACATCCTGAAACAGAAAGGTGATTGTCTTTGCAATGCAGCATGTGGGAAATTGGAAAACTGCAATATTTCCGGACGGATAACTTTGAATTAGGTCAAGTAATAGCACACATGAAAATGATGCTTACTTAGCTATTCGTTCAGACAGTATGGAAAATTCTTGGGCCCTTTGAAGTTGCAAAGTGATACTATTCTCAATATGAGTCTAATAAAATAATGTGAAAGGATTTAAAAAATGTTTAAAAAACACTGTGCTATAGATCTTCCTCAAGTGCAAACCTTGGATGACTTCTTGCTGAACTTCCCACATTGGGAATGCTCAGTCACAGAGGACAATGAATGTAACTGACATCCGTTGATATTTCAGATCAAACGTGGTGACACAGTTCCTTCATAGCTTGGAATTATTTCATAATGCTTGGAGGAGAGACTTGTATATGGAATTTTTCCTAGAGTTGCCCCTGTGCTTGTGGTGCTCAGAAATCATCTGAAAGGAAGAGAGTTTCCCGGGAGAAAGGGAAGAATTGGAAACTTCTCTGCATCAGCAAAAACACTTTCATGCAACCCTGATGCAATCACATTCATGGGCAACTTCCAGTTATCACTCCATGCCCCAAGACTATTGCACTTATCTACATGCTGAACCTGGTCAACCTACAAGTAGTGGAATCTTTTCTAGATTACTGCATAATATTTTCTAATGGAGCCCCGTACGGCTCATTCTGTCCTATAGCCTGCCTGAGAGACTATTTCCCTCTCACATTTTCATAACCTATGACATCACAGCAAATGAATCTATTAGCCAAAATATGGAACGCTAATAAGGAGGTTATAAAGGCTTTCCATCCAGACCTTTGTTTAAATCATGTTGTTAAAAGAGAAAGTGTCATTTGAGCCAATCATAATGATGTGAAAAAAATGTGCTGCCTTTTTAAAAATTCCCAGTTTAGTGACAAGATCAAATGCAGCATGTTCTTCTGTGAAATAGTTCCAAATAAGTCATAGCCAAGTGGATGTCAAGGAAATTAAAAAGGGGGAAGGAGGGAGAGAGAGAATGCAAAGGATTTGTAGAGTTTAATTCTAGACTCCTGTTGCGTGAAACAGAATGGATAATATTTAGTCATGGGAGTGCCAGCACAGACTCACAGCTTGTTCCAACATACCCTTTAAGACTGAACTACACATGACTTTAGTGGCACTAATAACTATCACTTTCTTGGGTTTAGAAAATTAAACTCCAGGTAGTTACAAGGGTGGTGGTAGAGTTGGGTTACTGGATTTGGATGGTAAAAGTTGAGGTGACCACCAACTCTTCCCCTCTGGTTCTGGGACACTATCTTCCAGGTCCATTCTGCTTTTGCAGCAGGGAAATTGGGTCCTTTTGATTTTGATTCTATTCTGGACTGAGCAGCTGTCCCCCCTCACTTCTTCCATTGCTCCGCCACATCTGGTAGCAGATCCACAAAAGAAGTGGGGAACCAGCTTTTTCAAACCCCTGTGGTCAGAGACCACAGGGGTTTGAATAATCCAATCAGTTCCTTCAACCAATACCCGAGGAAGAGGCAGACCAGGACTATTAGGGTGTAATTAAGAGTAAGAATTCTCTTAATTGCATAGCATGCACAACTCTGGGCAGGTGTTTGGCCTTAATGCTCTTTCAGAAATATTACAGTTTTGAAAAATAGAACAGTTCTGAGTGTACTAATTGTACCTGATAAATAAATCCAGGTGATCTGGTACATTTTAGATAAGGTACATACCAATATCTTGAGAGTCAAGTGAAACTGATTTAGGACTGCTCCAATTTGAGGTACTTTTAAATGATAGATATTTAAAGCATTACACCCTAGTAGAGCAGTCATGACTAGGCCACAACCTCAGAACAAGGTGAGAAGTTCCTATTCAATGAAGGCTTTGAAATAGCAGCACTCAAATGCCTGGAAGTCATATGAAGATGGCAGCTAGACCAAGAGAACAAATGGATGAGCAGCTGTCCACATGCCTTCAACACTGCATACTTCTAACAGGCTTTTTAGTAAGTGTAACAATAACCCACCAATTTTCTCCCTGGCAAAATAAGGATACTAAATCAGTGATGTTCCATTAGGAATGGAAAAGAATAACTTTTTCATTTTTGAACGTCTGATCTCAGCGGCTAATTGAGACAGGGAAGCTCTTCTCAAGGCCTGAGATGGTGACTTGTGCACAGTTGCATAATTCTTCAGTATTAGGGGTCTCACGTGGCCCTTTGCTCTGGCTACAGACTTCTCATGTTCTCTAAAAGAAAAAGAAATAATGGTACTGCTTCATGTTAGATATAGTGATAAGGAGTAAGAATCAGAACTTCAAATAACACCATATTGAGCAAGTTAAGAGTTTTGAGGGTATTTTGTTTAACAACAACACTCCTGCTCTGGAGATTAGCTCTGGCAGAGAGTAGAATCTGAGCTTTTTAGGAAATTAAAGACTGAAACACAGTTCATATACCTTCCTGTGCACAGAGCCAGATGCAAAGGGCAAATTGTGATACAGGGACATGCATGTAGTATCTCCTGGAAACACTTTAAAGCAGCAATATATTTTTCTCCATTTGCATCACTGTACTTCACCACTAATGTACACTTTTGGGGAAACATGAATTGGTTTAAGGTGTTCCTGAAGGATGCTATATGCACACTCCACATGATCCAAATCTTCTTTTGTCCTTTCAATTTGGATCACTACATGATGCTATTATTTACATGTCTAAGGCCCAAGCTATAATCCGATGACAATTAATAGGCTTTAAAGACAGATATGAAAGTTGCTTGCATAATTACATATGGAAGTTAAACTGACGCTATGTGTCAGCACTGAAAGGCAAGGAAAAGAGAGCATCTGTTACTTGATCAGAAGCTGAAAATATAAAATAATAATTCCAATATTATTTTTTTAGTTTGACAGTCATAGAAAATGGAGATTAAGTAGAAATTCTCTCCTAACATACACAGCCACCAGAGCAATAAACTGTAATTAGCTAACTGTAATAGTAATTGGAAAGAGATAGAAGGAATTTCCATATTACATCATTTCTATTCCCCAATCTCTTGGAAACAAGTCAAAAGCATCTGTGATCAATTCATTTCTGTGGATTTCAAAATTGAAAGGTGAGTCAATCAATACTATCCCCTTACTATGACTTGTAATTCCTTATGTTTGTATTTAAAAGCCCCTGTAAGCTGGGACAATAACAGGATAGGATGCTGGCAATGTTGCAACCCTATGCTTTTCTTAGTATTTTTTTTAATGGTTGAAAGGTATGTGATGGTTAGAAAGGGAGAAATCACCCTAGATCAATATTTGAATGATTGGGACAATAACTCAGCAGATTGTAGAGGCACTTGGAAATTTCATAGCAATTATTGTGACAGGTTCAGGGTAGAAATCATAGCAATAATTCTCTGAGGGGCAAACTACTGAGTTCTTTGAATGACTGGAAGTTTTACAATGACTCAAACTCCCATTTTTGCAGGCCCTTATATAGAACTTCAAGATGTTTTAATAGTTAAATGAGGTATTTTTGAGAGGAAAAACTGCTCCCACCTCTCCCTAAAAACCTCTTATGTGTCCAAAACTGGCCCCAAAGTTCCATTTTTAGATTGATTTGGGGCTGCATGTGTGTATTTACTGCTACAATCAAGTATACTTTCTTCTGTGTTTAGGGGGGATAAGTATGAGAATTTGACAGTTCACCTCTCAGAGGCTTTGCACTCTGTTCACATGTCAATCATTTCTGCAAAATGTCAAAAAAACAGCCAAAGTTAAGATGTAATAATATTTTTTTAAAAAAAAATCTCCTTTGGAGACAGCTACCTGCTTCCATCCCACCCTCACTTTGGAATTTATCTGTTATGTTGACCAAATTAATTGGCCCATTTTTCAGGCCTGGGAGAATGCATGTGGACCACAGACCTCCCAGTCCTGTTCTAAGCCCTAATCTTGCAGAAAAAGAACTATAAAACAAGATGTTGACATTTTTCTGGATCCCTTACAGTGGCAGTAATAATCCTCCTCACCCCTGTATCTAGAAGAATGAGAAAGGAAATTACTATCATCTACATATATATGAAAATGTCAGTACTTCTCATTGACAGTTTTGACTTTTAAAAACATATTTCAACATATGCATATTTGACTTACATCTTAACAACAGTGATAGATAAAGGGTATATGATATAATAAATATCACACACTATTTACTTTTGTAGTCTACTGTGTAATTTAAATAAATATAAGTACAACCTTTATGAGGACCCGGATTGTTGGGGGGCAATATGCTAACTCTGTAAACCGCTTAGAGAGGGCTGAAAGTCCTATGAAGCGGTATATAAGTCTAACTGCTATTGCTATTGCTATTTTATATGTGGCATCCCTGCATTGAACATTACCTGAAGTAGTTAAAATTAAGAATCAGGTGCAAATGATTAGCACATTTAGATTTATATACAACTTCACAGTGCTTTCCAGCCCTCTCTTAAGTGGTTTACAGAAACAGAATATTGCTCCCAACAATCTGAGTCCTCATTTTATTGACCTCGGAAGGATGGAAGACTGAGTCAACCTTGAGCCTGGTGAGATTCAAACTGCCAAAGAGAGCCGGCAGTCAGCTGAAGAAGCCTGCAGTACTGCTCCACCATGACATTCTTATTAGACTGTCATTTTTAAGGAAGTGGGAAGAAACCATCTTATTGAAACTTCAAACATTTGGTTTGCTCCAGATTAAACAAGTCAATATAAATGCACAAATATTTGTAAGCATATCTGCAAGAAAGCAGCCTTGCTTATTTCTTTGCCTCATACTAACAGGGATCCTCTCCACTCCAGGCCATCCATGCTCCATAAATTACATTGCTTTATCATATAATATATAAGATATAAGTGCTGCAACCTGCTGATGGGCCATGTGATTTGACCACAAGTTGTTTCACTATTTCCTTCTAAGCGTTTCTCTGCCTTCAAATATGTTATTTCCATATTGCTTCATGGATGATGCATACTGTGTCAGTTTAGATACAAAATTATTATACAACTGAAGCATTTATAGGAGACTGAAATATGTGAAAGGCACTGGTGCTTGTTTGTTGTAGAAATAATGCATTTTCTTTTCTAATCGTTTGAAAAAAAGCTCACATTTGGCGGCATATTTCACGGAGCTTCCCCCTTGCTTCAGGACATGGATCAAATCTGTCAGATAAAATGGACTCCTTGTTTTGACCAATGCTGCTGCCACCACCTTTGATTTTAAGCTGACCTATAAGATATATTGAAAAATACAGATTTTTTTTTAAAAAAAACCTCTTCAGAGTTATTCTCTAAATTAAGGTTTCCCAATCTTGACAACTTTAAGAGGTGTGCATTTCATGCTGGTTGGGGAATTCTGGGAATTAGAATAGAATAGAATAACAGAGTTGGAAGGGACCTTGGAGGTCTTCTAGTCCAACTCCCTGCTCAGGTAGGAAACCCTACACCACTTTAGACAAATGGTTATCCAACATCTTCTTAAAAACTTCCAGTGTTGGAGCATCCACAACTTCTGGAGGCAAGTTGCTCCACTGATTAACTGTCAGAAAATTTCTCCTCAGTTCTAATTTGCTTCTCTCCTTGATTAGTTTCCACCCATTGCTTCTTGTTCTACCCTCAGGTGCCTCGGAGAACAGTTTGACTCCCTCTTCTTTGTGGCAACCCCTGAGATATTGGAACACTGCTATCATATCTCCTCTAGTCCTTCTTTTCATTAAACTAGACATACCCAGTTCCTGCAAACGTTCTTCATATGTTTTAGTCTCCAGTCCCCTAATCATCTTTGTTGCTCTTCTCTGCACTCTTTCTAGAGTCTCCACATCTTTTCTACATTGTGGCGGCCAAAACTGGATGCAGTATTCCAAGTGTGGCCTTACCAAGGCATTATAAAGTGGTATTAACACTTCACATGATTTTGATTCTATCCCTCTGTTTATGCAGCCTAGAACTGAATTGAAGTCCACTGGTCCTAAAATTACCAAAGTTGACAAACCTTGCTTTAAACAGATCATAAAATCATATTGTCACCAAATACTTTTTTCTATCAAACCTTTATCAGATTTAATTTAGTAACTAACCATCTTCTTAAAAAGTTAAAGGAAACAAACAGAAAATAGAATTAACAGGGCTTGTTGTGCTTATCGTTTATTATTCTATATTGTTTATTAGGACTTTTAGTGTATCTGTAAAAATCATATTTAATAATTTTTTCAGGTTAACCTGTGGCTGTTGAAGATGTTCATGAGGCCACATACAGGAGATTCAGCAACAACAATGTGTCAGGTACCTTCAGGCAATCAATGCACTTTTTTTAATATTCTTGCAATGCTTGTTAAAAATGCTTGTTACTCACTTGCACCTGCTAGTGAGTAACAAGCTGTTGATGCTGTTGATCCCTTTCCTGGTGGATCCCACTGAATTCGTGGTCCTCAGCAGTGTTATTTGGGGACTGGTGAAGTCTTCCCCAAAGCCTTTGATCCTAAAGATTATTTTCTGACTTTCTGGCTAATGTTAATATTTTCCTTTTTGGGGCCCTATTCTATTTACAATCCTGCTCTTTCAAACTCACTGAGTATGCTATTACAAAGAATAGCTGGTATTAAGGATGACAGGATAGCTGCCAGGTTGCAAAAAAAAAAAAAAAAAATCCCCAAGAAAGACATGCTGTGTTTCTTCTAAGCAGTTTCCCTTATTGTTCTTCACCTACAGACAGAAATCTTGTCGAATTAAAGCAAATTACTTTCAACATTAAATATATACTCTGAAAAACGTCTAGGGAGGAGCTATCTTGATCCTCTTCCTCCCAACCAAACTATCTAAACTTCACTGTCTCTTGCTCCTCCCTCCTGGGAACCCAGGCAAAGTTCCATCACAACAGCTGTCAAAAGCTATCTCTCTGCCCATTGATCTTGAATGCATATTTTAAAAATGGCATTCGGATATCTCTCCTGCATATCTCTTATTTTACCTCTTCCCACTTGGAGTACCGTGTTATATTTCTACTCAGCAATCTTTGCAATGGTCCTTACCTGAGCTCTTTTGTGGTTTGACCTCTTTGAATGACAATGAAAAGCAAAGGCAGGACAATGACATTTGCTGTATGAGTTGGGTAGTGGAAGTTATAGGAATTGCTGGCGCCGTTTGGACTGTACTACGCCCTCCTGTAGGTAGAAAAGATACTGTGGGTCATAATTGCAAAATACATTATTTTTGAAATAAAAAGTGTGCTCTGGTACCATTGCTATTAATGAAAAGAGAAAGAAAATCCAAAAAAGGAAGTGTTGGATTCCTAAATTCATAGGAATGATTCAAGAAACTTAAATCTTTTGTAGATATGTGGTTTAAGCAGGAAACCAGAAGATTAATCAGAATAGCATTGATCCTGATTATTTATTTTCTGGGGGCATGACATCAAACATTTCCTTCTATTAAACAAAAAAGGTTATGAGATAATTCAGTGCAGTAATGAATGACAAAAGCTGAAGTTCTGTGTTTACTTGTAATTTTAGAATTAATTACGCATAGTACCTTTCAGCTCCCTAACAATTACATCATCACCATAATTTTAGCCATTGTCTATGATGAAGGCCTCTTCCATGTGTTTCCAACCAATACAGTCCCAAGTTTTCTTTTGCCAATTAGGCCCGCAATACAGAATGAGAGCCAGTTTGGTGCAGTAGTTAAGGCACCAGGCTAGAAATTGGGAAACTATGAGTTCCAGTCCTGCTCTAGTCCTATCTTAGGCATAAAGCCAGCTAGGTGGCCTTGGGCCAGTCAGTTCCTCTCAGCTCTAGGAAAAAGGCAACGGCAAATCACTTCTACAAAACCTTGCTAAGAAAACTGCAGGGACTTGTCCAGGTGGTCCCTAAGAATTGGACAGACTTGAATGGGAAATAAACAAAACAGAATAGCCTTTCAAAAGCCAAATTAAACGTGTTGCCATAATTAAATGTGTTCCTCCTAAAAATCTGCTAATGGATTATATTCCCCAGAGCCAGAAAATGTATGCATTCCCTTAACAGTCCATTAAGATTTTAGCCACTACTGTGGTGCTAACTTTGCTAAGATAGCAAAATGACTTTTGGAACAATATTTACTCCAAAATAGCTCCCTATGAATTCAGTGAAGCTTACTTTTAAGTAAGGGAATAAAAGAAAGCTTGCAATCTTAAAGTTACACTGACAGTCCCACACCTGGGTGTATTTTCCACTGAATTCAATGAGATTTATTTCACAGTAGACACATATAGAATGGCCTAGTCAGGTTACAATTCTAGGCATAATTAAATGAAAGTGTGCCAATGATGTTACAGTGATTTTTCTGAAAATACAGCCACAGGACTGTCCTTCAGGATAGCACATTTTTCTATGTGAAAGTTAGGTTCATATATTTTCAAAATTATCCTCTCTCATACAAAAGAATCATGGGTACTTTCAGAACCTGAAAAGCATGCCTTCAGTGTTTGATGCTGTGCGAGCTACTTGACTCTGGTGTAGAAATCAACTTTGACCTGACAGCTAAATTTTCAATTAAAGTAGAGGGGAGTTGGATGCCATCTTGCCCAAACTCATATTCTGTGTAAAAGAACTGAAATCTTTAGTATCTAAGGAGAAAGCTTCCTAACTTCTGCTTGAAGGTATTCCACTGAAAAGTGATACTATTATTCTAGAGCAAAAATCCAGATCCAAGGTTAGCAGACTGAGAATATTTTCCAATGCAAGGAAAATACAGTAAGGGAAAGAAAACATATGGGAGTAAGGGAAAATAAGTTAAGTAAACATATGCTCATTAGGTACAGAATTTAAAATAGAGTAACTACATAGAAACTGTTAAATTGGGTTAATGGAAGAGGCAGACTCAGGCTAACAGTAACAACAACTCTTTATTAATGCAAACTATGTACAATCCAGCAACCTTTTGTTTGATAGCATTCCGCTTTATAGGGTGCCGTCAAACATCTTAGCCAATCACCATTCAGTATTTCCCCACTGGATCGGAGAACCTTGGTGGAATCTACCATACTGGCTGTCAGTATGTAACAGAAACAACTTGCAACACAACTAAATAACAGGTTCCATCAGCCTACTGCAAGGGTGTCAAACCCGCGTCATCATGGCGGCGTCACATGACATATTGGGACTTTTTCCCCCTGGGGCAGGGCCAGCACATGATGCATCTGGCCCACGGGTTTGAGACACCTGGCCTACTGCATTCACACATCGTGCTAAGAACCAAGTCGCTATTTTTAATGCTTATATATTCACATAAAAGAATCGTATTTTACAGTATTAAAAATAGTGACTTAGTTCATAAGAGCTGCTAAGCTATAAGCCAGGGCCAGATACCCTGAACCTCAAAGGCCCAAACATTTGGTGATTATTGTAGAAACATCTAAAAATTGCTGGGAAAGTAGTAACTGTTAATGTGATAGAAGGTGGGCAGAGGTGGGCGGGGGGAGGATCAAATACATGATTACTGCAGGGAGCAAGCATAACACTTCTATTAAGTTTTAATTAAAGAAAGAGAAAGCACAACTTTCTTTTAGGGCTGGTACCTACAGCCTTCTTTGGGGAGCACAACCTCTTTCACGTCCAATGTAGCCCTTGCCATGGAAATACCCCTGAATGCCTCCATAAATCCTGGCTGCTAGATCACATTGTCTGGGATCATATTGGGATGTAATGCAAAAGTGATAGCAATTAGGTTGCCCCTCATATTTAAATCCTATAATACTGTCCTATAAGTTCATGTTTTGGAAACAATAGAGGAGTTGACTCTCTTCTCTGTGAGAGAGCTCTGAGAGTCTTCTCTCAGTCTTGTCCCCCTCCTCCGGCAGACTTTTTCTTCTCTAGGTTTAATCTTAAAGGGGAAGAGCTGCAACCTGTGGGTTGCCACCTGAAAATGCCAGAAAATTTCAAACTAAAAGGACAAAATCATTTTAAAGAATTGAAAGTCTCCCATGAAGGTTTTCTATGTCATTACTTCTTTCTCTATTTAATTGGGGCTCAAAGAAAATCCTCAAGTATCTGAAGTGAAATTGCAGTGGTGGGTTCCTACCGGTTAGGACCAGTTCGGCCAAACCAGTAGTGGTATGGCGACCTGGATCGCTGGAACCAGGAGTGATCCCGGCCTGCCATGCCCCCAAACCGGTTCCCTGGTCTCTTCTGCCATCGACGTCATGTTTCTGTGCATGTGCAGAACAGTTTTCAGTCAACTGCACATGCACAGCAACGTAAAACACCCTCTCAGCCAACCGGTAGTAAATCGATTAGAAACGCACCATTGAATTGGCTTAGGAATTTCTGTGAAAGTGAATCTCCCCTTCCTAGGAAGTCCCCTGCTTTGCATTGTCACGTAGCCATTTCAGGCTGACAGCAGAAATTTACTAAAAGAGAGGTAGGCAGAAAATGGAGCTGAAAGCTCACTAAAGCTTACTTATGTTTTCCATGAATGAAATACAGGTATGACTTACTAGTGGGCTCTTGAGATAGAAATCAAACTTGGAAATAGATATTGACTCTGCCAGCATTATTTCCCTAGTTTAATTCTGAGGAGATGGAATTTGAAGAAACGATGGTCTCATAAAGACACATTAACACCAGCAGGTCATTCTACAGAGATGGCTAAATTGACTGCTTTGGTCAAAGAAAAAAACCATAAATACTTTTGTTTCTATTTGAAAACTGCTTCTGGACTTTGTGCTCGAGGTGGTAAAAATGAAATGTTGAATTTGGGTTTCACTGATTAGATTTGTTGTTATAGAAATGGGTAGTTTATACTATTATATAAAAGTAAAAAGTTGAGGTTTGATGTTATTGTCTTATTCTACTGCATCAGAGGGAGTCGGAAGTCAACACCATTTTTTTTCTTTTTTCCCTTCTTTTCTACACTTCTCCGTTCCCCTTTCCTCCCTTATTTTTGCTACTTTGCTTTTTTATTTTTGTATTTTATATTATAAACTAATAAAAACTGAAAAAAATAATAGGCCATACTTCAAACTGGAAAGGAAGTAAAATGCCAGGTATAAAAAGCCGAATTTTACCTACAAAAATGGAGGGTCAAAGTATAACACAAACCCACACCCCAAAAGGTACCCTCTTACCACAAAAGAATTTTTATTTTACAAATGGTCAGAGTAACGTGGCACACCACATTACCAGGGCAATCCTGCAAAATGTGCCTGTGGCATAGCATATTTTTTATTTTATTTTATGCAACTGTTTCATTTATGAATAATTTTTCACCTCATTGCACCTTTGGCATTTGTGATAAGCTCCAGCTTTAAGGACAAGGCAGAAGCCCAAAAACATAAGGAGAGGAGACTGGAGCTACAGATAGAATCAAATAAATGTGTATTGTTGTGCTGTAGGTGCGTCCATGTGTGTCCATGCGTGATAATCCAGGCTACAGTTGGATAAATCCATTAGACATGAAGAGATTTAGCCTTATTTGACATACCTAACAAAAATAGTTGAGTCAAAACTTCGAGAGAGCATGTATGAAGGTTGGGGAGAACAGGGGATTGTGGTGATGGGGCCGGGGTGGGGGAAGCCACACATAATTCCCTCATGTTAATCCTCCAAGTGTCTTCTTTTTAGGTATTATGACTGTCTGATAGTCACACATAAACCAGTCTTCTGTAGCTTGCCTTTAACTACCTCTATAAAGCTATCCGCTACAGGGCATCCAAAGTGAATTGCCTGTCTCTGAATTTATTTTAAAAGTGGGAAAAGAATTATTCTGCTTAGAACTGTAGTGACACCGAGGGAGGTGAGGATTAACCTTCCCCTTCCAGGGCATTCCAAACTGCATTTACGGCATTTGAAAGCGCTCTAAGGAAACACTCCAAATTATCTTGTCTTTTCTCATTATCTAGGCCCTGGCAAATCCATTACACATTCCTAGTGTTTATGTGAAGGATCATTAAAATGTCACCCCTCCTCAGCAGTGAGACAATATAGACCATTTCCTCTGTGGAGTATTTTGTAACCTCATTTTGCACAATGTGCACCATTGTGAGGTTTTACTATCAATCTGTGTTCCTGAATCACTAGAGTTTAGCTTTCGGAGGAACATAGCAAAGCTGGGCAGGGCACGAAAGTTTTAAAACTGATGACAATAACAAGCTGACTGCACCTGCCAACCAGTTAAAGAATCAGAACTCTTCTGGGGGTTTTGAGAGATATCTTGGTACCATTTGTACTATCATTTCCAACTCAGGTTCAGTGGTGGGATTCAAATAATGTAACAACCGGTACTCTGCCCTAATGATTTCTTCCAACAACCAGTTCACCAAATTGCTCAGAAAGTTAACAACCGGTTCTCCCAAAGTGGTGCAAACTGGCTGAATCCCACCACTGCTCAAGTTTCTATAAAGGAAAGTACTGAACTACAACAGAAATAGCAGGTGATAAATTCCAGGGGTCCAAATGCATTGTGAGTCCATTTCTTCTCTGACCTTTCCTTCTGGGTTCTTTCATAAGCTCCGCTGCTTCCTCCCGGGTTTTGGGGCTTAGCTGTTGACCAGTTTCCAGGAATCGTTTTGCAAGCTCGTCAGCATTGGGACCTAAGAATGAAAGAACGACCATATATTCCAGTGATCATTCAGATCTTACAAACAGAAATCTACACAGAAAAGCATAATCAGCATAATGAAATCTAGTTTGTTGTAATGGTGAAGGTGTTGGCCAAGAAACCAGGAGAGGGTGAATTCTAGGCCTCCCTTAAGCATGAAAGCTGGCTGACTTTGGGCCAGTCATTTTTCTCAGCCCAAGATGACAGTTGTTCTGAGGAAAAGAGGAGGTAGGAGTACCTTCAATTGTATGTGTTTGTGTATATATGAATATGAATGAATGAATCTCGAATCTTTCTTCTTCTCCCCCACGCCCCAATATGTAAAAAAGGATGTATGGATGTATGTTCAAGTATAACTCTGGAACGCCTCAAGCAATTTTAACCAAACTTGGTACACAGGTTACTTACCCTCTGGAAAAAAAATACTGTTGGAGTAAGACACTCCTAACACCACTTTGGGGGAGGGGTGTATCTGTGTGTGTATCTGTGTGTGTCTGTGTGTGCCTCTGTGTGTGTGTGCTCCAGCATAACTCTGGAATGCCTCTAGCAATATCAACAAAACTTGGTATAAAGATGACTTATTCTCTGGAAAAAATACTGTGGGGGGCAACACACTCTTAATATCCCTCGGGGAGGGGGAGTGTCCGTATGTTTCTGTGTGTTCCAGCATAATTCTGGAATACCTGGAACAATTTTAACGAAACTTGGTACACAGATGACTTACTCTCTGGAAAAAAAATACTGTGGAGGGTAAGACACTCTAGCACCTCTTGGTGTGTGGTGTGGTGTGTGTGTGTGTGTGTGTGTGTGTGTGTGTGTGTGTGTGTGGTGGGCTGCAAATATTTTTACTACTGGTTTGGGTGCGCTCCCGAGCACACACAATGCTTCTATGCCAGGGCTGGGTTTCAACCGGTTCGCACCGGTCCCTGCGATCCGGTTGGTCGCTGAACCCGGAAGTAAGTAACTTCTGGGAACGGCGAAGCCCCCCCCCGCGCCCCCGTGCGCCCGCACACCCGCGCCCGCTCCTTACCCGGTTTTTTTGAATTTTGCGCTTTCCACGCATGTGCAGAATGCCTGCGCGATCCTCCA